AATTTTCACCGATTTTCGATGTGTTGAATTTAAAATATAGGAAAAAGGTATATTTTCGCTGGATATTATTTTCACAGCGAAAATAAAGTATTTTACAGTAAATCCTACATAATAAGAAATCACAATGTATGCTAGATATGGTAATATTGTATAAAGTAAATACAACAAAAACTTCAGAGAAAATACAAAATTGTCATTATATTTAGCGTAATTACGCCCTAGATGCACTACCCATTCGTGGTCAAGACACTATACAAAAGTGCCACTTGTCTAGGAAACATACCTGAACGATTTTACCTAGACAGTGTTGCAGATCTTGTGTACCTACGTCACCAACTAAGATTCTGGATCAACATTTTCAACAGCTTGCACCAATGTACGTGAATGCTGTTTTTCACTGCCCTACTAACTCTTTCATAACTTGATTTATCTGGTTACTGATTAACAATATTCTTTCACAAATTGTCCCTAAGTTAAGACCAAATGAAGAACCATATCATTACTCGCAGGTTAACAATCACATAATGCTTCTCATTACCTCTCCATTCATTTATAACATAGAAAAATGGTAAAGAAAATAAAAAAAGAATGGGGATTAAAAATAAGCAACAAAACTTCACATGTATGAACACAGAAGTCTTCCATATACCGTATTTGTTCTATGATCTTACTTAAATGACAGAGGCAAGTCTGTTATAAAAATATGCAATATTTGAATGATCCAGTATACAATAATGCTATTGTTCACTTGCAAGTACTTTCAATACAGAAAATACAGTATTTATTTGTTCGCAATGATAAATTTTGCAGTAGTGTAATATAAAATGACCTCTTCATGTCAAATGCTTACAGCGGTAGGCACAGAGTTACAGCAATAAATCTTACACTCTACAACACAAATATACTACTTCATTTAGAAAAATAAAAAAAAAAAAACTATTATAAAAGGGCCAATGAATAAATAATTGCATAATGACTTGATAACAAATTATGAAGTTATCCTAAATAGATAATCATGAGGCTAAAAAGCTAAAAAAAAAAAGCATTTCTGTTCTTGACAAAATGGTTTGGTGAGCACTTATTTTGGCAGTTTTTCTTTGTTTTTAATATTTCAACAGAAACCAGAAATAAAAAAACACACAAAAGTGGTGGCTCTTTTGAACTGATGCATAAACTTATCAGAAACATACATTTTCTTTCTGGCCTAATATCTTATTTAATGAATTCTCATTGTACTCATGAAATATCTTAACACAGCTGAAAAAACTCGCAATTTGATAGATACTTGATGCAAATTATCACTACCTAATCAACATCCCTCCTCTATACAAGGTTATTCGTGTGAAGAGCATTGTAACATAAAAACCAATTGTAGTGCACAATGATAAATATTAGAGTTTGAAAAAAAAAAAAAATCACTATTTTGCTCTCAGAATTGCTGTAAACATTTTCACACAAGGCAAGATTGATAAAAATCAGGCCATTTGCATATTGAATGCAAGTAATCTAAAAAAAAAAAAAAAAAAAAATCAGTTGGAAATTAAGTTTGATTTTAGAATAACTACTTAAGTTTTACTGTTAATTCTGTTTTTTGGTGATTACCTTGGTTGTGAGTCAGACAACATCATATGTATGATTTAAGACATCTTGAATAAGGAACACTGCTAGAGGTAGTAATATAATGCCACTAAATAAGATAAATAAAAAAAATAAACAGATCTACACAAGTGAAATCATCTTTAAATGCACAAATCATTTTAGAATATCAAAACGCACTCAGTGGCTTATCAACAAACTGCACTCAAATAACATAATACTGGATAGAACCTGTCAGTTATAGTCAAGACAAACTTCAGTTAGTTACAGGCGATCTAGACTTGCAAAGTCAGGACTTCTTTTTTCATGATCGCGAAAACTAGCGTGACCTCGAAAGAAATCCCGGCTGGATGCATCTGCAGGCGACCCCCTGCGTTGAAGTGAAAACCGGAGCGAAATCACTCCGGTGGTTATGCTAATTAAAAGTTGTTGACATCATAAATAATTAATAGCAGTCAAATGCCCAGATGCTTCTAGTCGGGATTTCTTTCACTGTCACAATTTTTTTGCGATCATGCTAGAAGGACTTAAAACAATTATTTCTTTTTGTGAAACAAAAAAGAAATTCCGACTTTCCCAGTCTACAGGTGATCCTGTCATACACAATTGATCTGATTTCAAAATCAACGTTTTTTTTCATTATACTACTGGATTTATATAGGCAACAAACTATCATTCATCCAGCCAGGTGGACGAGGAAATATTGTAAAGGAAACACAACATACATAAACAAATGCAAACAAGTTCAGTATTTTGGGTAATGTTTACCAGCAAATGTGTGTCAACAAATGTTGTGCACAAAGCAGAACTACCACAAGTACACTTGGCATCAGTGAGAGTGAAAGGCCATGGATTTGATTCTAAAATGGGTGTCATGAACTGTTGTAATGTTCAAATTTCAACAAAAAAATGCTTAGTAATAGTATAATGATCCCGGTAGTGGAATCCAGTCATGCTATTTCACAGTTGAATAACTTACTTGTTTTCAAGGTGTTACAAATGTTGATTACTACTTGGTCATGATTATAATATTCGAAATATGGAACATTACGAAATGCCAGTTCAATGGCCGCACTCAAACCCTCAAAGTGAAACGATGTCTGTCATTTTTTTACATGCATGAGTTGACCTGCAACATTTGACATAAGTTTGTTATTAATCGATTTGAATGCTTGATTGTGCCAGCCGAACATATTTAGAAATTTACAGCTGCTACTGATGGCTATGCAACATGGAAGTGATTTATCAATATTGCATACAATCTCATTTGGCATTGATTTCGGTTCAAAACTGTTCATAGATAAACTGACGACGAGAAAACCTAAACTGTATTTTAATTTAGGCATTAGGAAAGGCATTTAGGCAATAGGAATTTATTAGTAGGCATTAAAATGTTCAAAACGTGAAACCTAAATTGCAATATTTCAGGTACCTCACTATCTGCTGTGGTAAAGTTGTTTTATTAAGCCATATATGTATATTAATACCTCAGCAGTGATCATTGTCATTAACTTATAAATAGTTCTTGCCAATCTCTTTCATGCCAATCACGTAAACAAGTACATACTCCTACTCATACGAATGGTTGTTTGTTGTCATTACTATGCCAATCTCTCTCATGCCAATCACGTAAACAAGTACATACTCCTACTCATACGAATGGTTGTTTGTTGTCATTACTATGCCAAACTCTCTCATGCCAATCACGTAAACAAGTACATACTCCTACTCATACTCTTAAGTGAATGGTTGTTTGTTGTCATTACTATATTTTGCTGGTTTGTTCAAACACTATAAGTTAAAAATAATAACTGTTAGTTTACTGTCCTGATTTTGTTATTCGTTTATGCACAACTTCAGAATTCTGAGAACAGAAGATATCTCACAAATACACTAGTTGCATCAAATCCTAACCGATTGCAGTGTGTGATATCAGTCTACAGTACTACACTAATCCAACATATGATTAAATTGTGGTACACTACTCCATTTTTACCTACTATATTAAAATGAATAAATAAGTTTAAATACTGATTAAACAGGAATGTTATCATCCCTTGATGGAAATGTTCTTCAGACTTGACGATTGTACCCCTCCATGATAATGGGATGGACCATTTTAATTCAAATAATGATTCATCAGGTTGTTATGCCTCATGGATACTGTCCCTCGGACTAATACTTCATACCCTTTCGTTAGAATGGTATGTTCTGCTTTTGAGTCAACTTATCAGTCACAGAAAATACCATAAATGGATATATTTCCACTATACATTAAGGATTGACATTCCATATAATGTATGTACTTTGTCAGTAATACCTTAATTACATATGGATTTGAAAATGTTAGCTTTGTTGGAATAAGAATGACTAAACATTACAGCATTATTATTTATAAATTGCAATTGTGTGATCAAATTGCAATGGGTAAGCATGTAATTTCCAATATAAGGTGTATGTATGATGTTTCATATGCAAATTTGCCACCAAATAAGTTATTTTATACAACTGTCATTGAGACTCCTCAGTTTTCAGGATCAGGGATAGGTTCATCGGGATATATTTCAACCGGTGCAACGAGTAAGGCAGCTCCTTCTTGATCCGGATGTGGTGGTTGTACAACTTGGTTTTCAGCTTCGCTGGCTGTCACCAGGTTAGTGATGGACTTACTTCGAACACACTGGAAATCTACATGTCTACTTTTGTTTTCTTCTTTCTCCCAAGACATGTGAAGGAAAGGCCTCTGTACATAATTATAAATCACTGTAAAATAATGACATTATTATTTTATATTAAGTTGTGTGTTAGCTTAAGTTTATTGGTTTGATAATTCATAAATGAAATTAAAAAGCCATCAAAGATGATAGATACCCTGTCATCTTTATGATTGGTTCAAGCAGTTTGTGTTGATGGGAGGGAGGGGTGTAAATGGTATTGAAAATGGTGTGCCCAATTCCTAAATAAAGCACTGCTTGAATGTCCCAGTAATGCAACAGTGCTCCAGATACAATATTTATACGTTATTATATGTTCATTGCGTTATTTCTGCAATATAACACTGTGTGGACGCTGGTAACATGACGGGAATAAGAAGCCATGGATTATTCAAAAACTTAAAATAAATACAGAAAGATTATTTATTCAACAGTATATTATTTATTATCTATGACACAAAATGGTCAGTGTATTACCTTCAGGTCTCCCTCCAGGCCTCTTCTTTATCTTTTCTTTATATGTTGGATAACCTGCAACAATAATAAACAATTATTATCAACGTTATATCATTTTTTCTGCAAGTAATTGGGTTAGCAAACTTGCTCATTAATTTGCTGACAAAATTAATAAGCAGATCTACCAGACTTGCTGGAGCTGACAATTCATAATGCTGTAAGATTGATAATACAACTTATTACAACATAATATTACAAATTAAATTTTTTAAATCTATACTATAACAAGCCATGCATGGCACAGTCCTCGTTAGTTATCAAATTTAAGATATATAGTTTGTTTATAGTAATATAGCTGGAATATAGCCATGTCAGAAATATGATTTTTTAACATTAAAATGTTGACATTTGTATGTGATTGTCGAACAAGTACTTGTCCATATTGAGAGATATTGCCCTGGAACAGCATTCAATACATGTTTATATATAACATGATGTATAACGAATATATGAAATTTAAATATAATAAGTCAAAGCATTTAAGAGATATGGCTCTAGAAGTCCATTATTATTTCCATCAAGGGTCCATAGTATCTAATGTATATACCAAGTTTGAACAAAATCCATCTGTAAACAGCCGAGAAATGGTTGATTTTTAGGATTTTTTAGCACAAAAATGGCCGCCATTCAGCCATCTTGAATCAGATCGTGAAACAAATTGATGTGCATATGTATAATATCATGTATGATGTATGTGTGAAGTTTGATTGTGATTGGTCCAGGCATTTCTAAAATACACAAACGCACGGAGGTCAAAACATCAGAGGTCAAAACATAAGTCCCCGTTTTCGGACTGCGTCCAAACGGGAACTAACAAGCGGGTTTGCTGCCCCAATCCTTTTGAGTCTCACTGAATTTGCTTAAAGTTGTATTATCGGCAAAACTTTAATTTAACAGGTTTCACTTAATTAAAATAAAATCCTGTGAATAATTAATTAATGCATTTATGGTACAATACTGTTTTTGCTCTATTGATAGCATATGCACTTATGAAAATGACAGACAAACGTCTATGGCCAGACGGTTATATTTGAATGATGGAGTATATAGTAACTGCAGTTTTTGGTTCATGTGTACTACCGAAAAATCTGTATTATAAGCCACATCCCTAATAGAAGCCACACCCATTATTTTTGAATAATTGAAAACCAAAAATTCATCATTTCTCATACGTGTAGATGCTCTAATAGAAGCTGCATTTCCTCTGTTGCATTGTACCATTTTAATATAAGCCGTGGTTTCTCATACAGATTTTACACTACTAGAGATGTGACAAAAAATACAGTAGCTACACATTGCTTGATGATGCCTTTTTTTATACAGACTCTAAACAGGCAATGTGTTAAAGCGCGGCGGTCGCCGTGCTGCGCATGTGCGACATTTGTGTTGATAAAAATTGATTTTTCCACAATCCAATGTGCTCTTCAAATGAAAATCACAAGTAAGAGGTCTGACATGGGCGCGACTTGCACTGAATACCACTGGTGACTCCTTCGATATCGTCCGATCACCAGAAATTACCTAATTTCAAACGTCTCAGTTTGTACTCGTTGATCTGCGTAACAGTCAAAGTCGCCATCTTTATTTATATGAGGCCCATATATCTCGCACATGCGTGGTGCGACG